AGGAACTTTCCCTCCAAAACCTCAGTTACCCCAAGGACAGCAAACTGTTGGAGGAGAAGATGTTACCAGCACCAATCAACAACAACTACAGGGGTGGGACTGCCAGCAACAAGCTGAGGGGACAGAGATTATAAAAGGACCTGTGAAGTTTGAAGAGCTGCCCTTTTACTGTGGATTAGCTGCAGCTGAGGACCTGACACTGCACACTTCGGTCTACATCTCTTTTAGAGACTTTTTTATATAAATTTGAGTGCAGATTAGCAGCATTCACTGCAGTGCCGCCGAGTTCTTGCTTTGGGACCAAAACCCCGGTTCGGCCAAAGGATTCCTCAATCCTCAGACCTGGGACTTTTATAAAATTTATTTTCTTTTTACTCCCTCACCCATTATCCCTTCCTCCCCTTTTCTTTTTTCCCTTAATAAACACCCTAGTTTATTTGAACCCCCAAAGTTGTGTCTTTTTCCTCACACATCCAAGAAAGCAGCAGCTCACTTTCGGTTTCTCTTTCCAAGACCAGCCTCCCGCTCTGGGCCTCCACCAACCTCCTTAGATCAAGCAAAGCGGGAGTGAACATTATCCTCTCACTTCTCACAGCTTTGGTATTTGCACCAAAGGAGCAGGAAACTCGCTCCTTTATCTAGCCCAGCAAATGGCATGGCCTGGCAAGGTCTTGGGAGCAGGGGCTGGGGAGAATGGAGAGGAGACGAGGGAGGGGGGAACTACCAGGCTGGTGCTGGGATGCTGACAGAAGCTTGCTCTTGTCTGACGGAGCCGCTGCAGGTGGGATTTGGAGCCTCCAAAGCATCTGCTTTGCACTGGGCCTTGTTACAGCTGTCCCTGGGGTTTGCCACTGTGTGTGTGCAACAAGCAGGCTGGGAAGGAAGCAAGATTTGCTTTTGCCTAACATGAGGCAGGAAAGCAGTAAAACAGGCTCGGTTCTGCCCTATCTGGGACCTAAAACAAGTGGGAAGGCCATTAGTGTGAAAAAGTAATTCTGTTCGTGCTAGACTCCCAGTCTTTTGAGACTAACATCTCACTTCTCCAAGGGAGCTGGAAGAAAGAAAAAAGGAATTGGGCATTAAACGTTTGCTAGGGAATTGCTGGTGGCGTGTCCCCATCAATTCCCCTGAAAAACATCCTGTTTCTCCAAGTTTCAGGGAACGACTGTTGAGGTGAGAGACTGGTCAGCTCAAAGGAGGGAAAACATCATCAAGAGACATCATTAGGCATCAGACAGTTTATAAAAGGGGGCTGGATGAATGCTTCCACTTTGAGGAAAAAGCTTTGCAGCTGCCTCTCCACTGAACGACTGGCAGGCTCTTGCTCCTCTCGGAGCTGGAGCAGAGCCAGGGCCAGGATCCTTCTGCTTCTGCAGTGCAGACAGTGTGCTATGGGCCCTTTGACAGAGCCAGGCTCCCGTTCAGCTGCAGGCACCTTCCAGAGAAGCACGGAGAAGACCCAGAGCTCTCCCTGCACTGCTTTGCCCCGTCCAGAGGACTGTCGAGAAATGCCCCACTGGGAAGGTGCTCAGAGCAACCTTGCAGCAGCAGAAGTAAAAGAGGCAAAGGTGCCCCAGCCCTGTTTGTGTCCCCTGGGTCCCCTGGGTCCCCTGGGCATGGAATGTGTGGCTGTGCCCATAGCGACTGTCGTCATTGTCTCCCACTCCTGTGGCCGTTGGTGGAACACTGGTGCTGGACCAGCGCTGGAGCAGCAGCTGCAGGATCTGCTCCTGGGCTGCCCCTGGCCAGCCACCTTCTAGCCTCAGTGCCAGATCTGGCCTCTGGATAGACATCCCGAGCTCGTCTGCCAGCAGGCATCCCCACACTACTTTGGCACTGGCAAAGGTAAGAAAATCCCCCTTTGCCCTCAAAGCGCTAAGAGAACGGCAGGAGGCTCCGCTTGGCTCTCCCACCAGCCACGGCAGACACGGTCTGTGCTCCCGTTCCCCAGACGAGGTGACGCATGAAAGCGGGCTCCAGCTTCTGGAGGAATAATCATGCCTCCGTCTGTGGAAATCCAGAGCTTTCCATAGAGGACATAGAGAACGGTCACCGTGCAGTTTCACATTCTCATCCACCAATGAGATTTTCTGATTAAAAGTCCTCCTTGCTACCCACTGAAGTCCTACAACTATCTTGAGGTGACCCTTAAACAATCTGGTCATTACTGACGAGTTCAGGGCTTCAGTGTCCATAAAAGTCCTGTATCAGGCCCTGGCTCTCCTCACGCCTCCTCCAAAGCATTCAAAACCAGAATGTTGGCACTTCTCCTCTGGGATCCCTGCTGTTCAAGGCATGGAAGCAGTTTGCCAGGCTTGTCCTCCAATACAGCCTTTCACCTACAAAAATGGTCTGCTTGCAGCCATTCTTCTATACTTCCATACTTACATCATTTACAGCGACATTAGACTTTAGTATCTTTCTAGATTCTTTTGTTCCACCTGCATTGGGTCTCTGTAGATGAATGACAGGGGATAGATCCTCTTATCTCTATTGAGATATTGGGATGGATTTCTCTATGTTTTTCAATGCCTGTGGGGCTGGTTGTGCCTCATGGGCAGAGGCAGCTGTGAAATGGGGCCGTCTGGAGTGGTCCTTCTCAACAACACAGTCACAGAATTTGGCAGAATTTTCTGGGTTGGAAGGCACCCAGAAAGTTGAGTCTGGCTCCTGGCCCTGCCCAGGACAGCCTCAAGAATCACACCCTGTGCCCAAGAGCAATGTCCAAATGTCCATTTTTTGAGTTCTGTCAGGCTTGGTGCTGTGACCCCTTCCCTGGGGAGGCTGTGCCAGTGCCCAGCCACCCTCTGGCTGAAGAACCTTTTCCTCCTATCCAAGCTCAGCCTCCCCTGGCACAACTTGCGTGCCATCCTCTTGGGTCTTCTCACTGGCCCCAGGACTGAAGTGAAGTCTGAAGGCAAGACTGCCTGTCCTTCAGTCTTCCCCTCTTGAGGACACTGCAGGCTGCCAGAGGCTCCTGCCTCGCAAGTTCCAAGTGAAAAACGCAGCAATTGCGCCAAACAGAGGGGAGCTGGGACGCAGGAGCTTGTGCTTTCAATGATGAGGATGAGAAGGAAGGCTAGCAACACATCATGGCTGAAGTTTTTTTTACCTGGGCCTTTGTTTTGCTCTCTTCCAGGTGGAAAGGAGAGGCACAATGAAAAGGAAAGCAAGAGCCCAGATTCGACCGTGAGTTTTGCCCGAGGGATAAAAGAGCGGCGAACTTGAGGGATGGCGAGGAGGAGAACTGTTATTTCAGAGTTGGGCTGGGATTGCTTCAAGCCTGTCCATGGCATCAAGTGTCTCTTTACCACTTGCCTTTCTTCCCTCCATCCCTTTTCCCTTTAGACACATCAAGGTTGGCAGTGACTTTCAGGCTGAGCTCCCTGAGCTGCAGACCACACCACCGAGTGAGGATGAAGAGCATGCATCCCTGGTCTGGAAGCCTTGGGAGGAAGATGACTCTGCCATGGAAAAACCTGACAGAGGTAGCTGTCAAGCTTTTCTTCCACCCCTGAGACTTGGGTGTGTAAAAGGCAGCTTTTGGTTGGTAAAAGGCAGCTTTTTGCATGCTCTGCATCTCTCCTTGTCTCACCCGTCTTCTTCCATGGGAGGGTTAGAGGCAAGGAGAATGCTCCATTTCTGCAGCAGGGCAGGAAAAGAGCAACTTTCCTGCTCTCCATATCGGTCGGGGGCATTTGCCACTGGAAGAAGAGAGATTGGCCCCTGCTTCTTATTCCAAAGGCTGCTTTCATGGGAGAGAGAGCCAGCACTACGTGGGCCCTTGGTTCAGCTGCCCCTTTCTTTGCTATCCTTTCCACGCCCTCCAACCGCTTGGCTGTCTTCAGCTCTTGTGCTTTCCTTCTCCCTTGTATTGCAAGCTTTCCCCTTTCTTGCTTCAAGCCTGACTTTCACTGGGGTTTTGTTGTGCTTGCAGTAAGACAACTGTTGGACATGGCCAGCGCCCGTGGCGTTTCCGGGCCAGCGGCTAACCTGGAGCTGGCCCTGCACTGCCTGCACCAGGCACGCGGCAGCCTTCCGGTAAGAAGCGGCACTTTGGGTGCCCAGAAGAGTGGACAGGGAATTCCTAAGGCCTGGGCACTGGGATAGCCTCTCCTGGCTGCTCTTTGTAGAGGGGGGCTAACAAGAAGTGGACAACTTGCTGCCTGCTGTGTCTCCTCCAGCTACAGCAGGGGTGAGCCCAACTGGCTTGAGCAGGGACAATATCTCTCCTGGAGGAGCTGCTGGCAGGTCCCACAGCCTGCTCCCTTGTCGATCTCCCGCACATCTGTGTGCTCTAACACATTCTGGGGGGAGTTGAGGGGAAATCCCCACAAGCCTCAGTGAGCGGAGGCAATTCTGGGCTCAGGAGAAGCATTGAGTGGGTGAGCAACGTGCCACTCTTGGGGAGCAGGATCAAAGGGATGGGCAGTAAAAAGGAAGGTTTGGGAGCAAACCCCAGTGTTGAACCCATATGAGATCCACTGGACTGAACCCCTGAAGAGGCAAAGTAGCTGAAAGGTAGCGTTGATGGTTCTTTGGCTCCTTTCTATGGTGGGGAAGTTAAGCCTTTTTCCCTTTGATCCTGCAGGAGGCTCTGGACATGTTGCTCTCAGGGGGGCCTCCCACACCTCAAGGCCACCCCTTGGCTGATTATCATTACGCAGGTAAGCGAAGCACAGCTTGTTCCTTCACTGACAGATACTGCCGTCCCCTTAATTGCCATGGCAAGCATTTGTGCTCCAACAAATAATGCCATCACAAGGCCTCCTCTTGCCTGGGGCAGGGGAAAGCAGCAGCATCTCCCCCTTCAGCTTTCCTTGGAGTTTTCCATGGGTTTTTTTTATCCTTCCTGGGGAATGCCTGCTCTTGTCTTCATTACTTTCCAAGGGAGCAGACATGTACGCAGGTGAAAGGTGGATGGCGCCAATTTTGTTTTGGCAGCCAGTGGGATCTACTCCAAGTGGATGGAGGGACCAATTTACCTGCTGCTTTTTTTGCCAGACTCTGACATATGGACACCTGAGGAGAAGGAGTCCTTCGAAAAGGCTTTTCACACCTATGGCAAGGATTTTCATCTCATCCAGAAGCAGGTAAAGCCATAGGACATTCTTGACCCTAGCAGATCATCAGGAGGAAATGTTGATTATTTCTGCTCCCAGATGCTGGAATCCAGTCTCTCTTCTCAAATACCCGAAATAATCAAGTAATAATGAAATGGGACATCAAAGGCCTGCAAGAGAGGGGTGATTCTGCCTCAAAGGCCCTTTCCTCCAAGCTCTTTCGGAACACAAAGGCTTATTCTGTCAGATTTGGTCTCCTAGGTGCGCTGATGCTTCCACAGCAGATGGTGCTGGGAGAGCTGAGAACCCAATGGGGGAAAGAAAAACTGTGCTACATGGATTTGTTGTTGATCTGTGCATCGCATGTCTTCCCACACAGCATCATACACTGTACATTACATTGCACAAGGCCTCTTTTACGCCTTATTTATTTCATTTTACACCCTACTCAATTTACTCCATCATTTTGCTTCCTAGGTGACTCCAGAACTCTCCAATTGTTCTCCAGTGCACCCTACAGGATGGCCATTTTAGATTCCTTCTTCTTCTCTTCCCAACAGGTTCAGAGCAAGACTGTGGCACAGTGTGTGGAGTACTACTACACCTGGAAGAAAGAACATAAACTTGCCAAAAGTCTTGCTCAGGTGAGTGGGAAGAAAATCAAGACAAGGCCAGAGGGTGGAGAAACTGGGAGAAGGGGACAAAACCTGCTGGCAAGCCTGGGAGGCACCGCTCTGCCAGGATCACATTGTCCCGTACACTGGAAAGGCGCAGCAGATGCTGCCCAGGCCTTGATCATCAAAACATCAAAACATCAGTAATCCTGGCTGCGCTCGTGCAGATTCTGTAGATGTTCAGGGACCTTTTGTAGCATCCCAGTGTACTCCCCAAAAAGGAGCTGCACATGCTGTGGCTCTGCTGAAACTTTCCTTACTGACAAACCAGAATTTGCTTCACAGACACTGAGAGAGAGAGAGAGAGATTAGTTTGGGCAGTAGAAACTGGGTAACCATGTGTCTTTAAGAAATTTGGCTGAATTTAAAAGTCATTCCCTAGACAGGGAGGAAAAGTAGGGGTAAACAGATGCTGGGCAGAGAGGTCCAATTAAGAAAAGGAGAACTATAGATACCCACGTATGGATCCCACCCCTTCAGGCAGTAGAAAGGAGGCGTTTTTTCCTCCAAGTGCTGTGTTTGCATTCCGCTGCAGCCTGCCCCCAAATCCAGCTGTTTTCCCAGCTCTTTAGGCTTGGGAGGAATTTGCTTAGGCCAATAGATTCTGGCGCTGGACGCTCTGATTTCCAGCTTGGTGAGAGGAAGGAAAAATTGATCAGGATTCTTGGATTTCCAGACTGTGAGCGAACCAAAGAGGAGCCAAAGCCCTCCCAGAAAGGAGAATAGGGAGACAGGGAAGAGAAGCCGCAAGAGGGCCCGCAACGCGGAGTGTCCCTGCTGCCAAGCGCCCCAGCCACCCCATTCGGCGGGAGGCCCCTTTCCCTGCGGCCAGTGCAAACGGTGCGCAAGTTCTACCTCTTTCTGCTCAAAGCCTGCGCCTTTGGACTGAAACAGGCTGACCGTGTTCAAAGGCACCACAGGGGAAGCTGAGGGCACTCGCAGGACCGCCTCTCACCGCCGTGCAAAGCCTTACAAGCCACTTGCACCCCAAAGAGCTTAGCTAAAGCCCAGCATTCCCAGGGAAACCTTGCCCTGCCCCACCAAGACACAATTCGTACACAAGTAGGAATAGGGAGACCAAAGCTTGCTTTGATGGTGCTGATCAAATCCAAAAGATGAAGCGAGAGGAGGAAGACATTTGAAGGAACTGCAACAAGAAAGATCAGATTTATGCTTCTGATCAATTTACAGAGGTTCCACAGCCAGAAAAGACAGAAATTCACGGAGAAATGGAAATCTTGGAGCTCGCTTTAATGGTGTGCATTGAATTAACAATGGCTGCTTTGTTTCCTGTCTTCCAGGGTGTTTGAAACCGTGCAGGAAAGGAACGCACATAGGAGAAGACATCGCGCACGGAAGGAAGCAGGGCCTCTCCCCAAGAAGAAAAAAACAAATTAAGCCTGCCACTTGTCCAGGGCTAACAGGAATTATCTGTCAAATGATCTAGATAGGAATCAGATTGGTTTTCACGTTTTTAGGACTGTTCATTCTTCTATTTAGTTGACTAGACAGACATTTCTCAATTTGTTAGTTAAGATTCATTAGCTTTCTTAAAGATTTATTAGGATTACTAGATTATTATGATGATTCGGTTATTAGATTATTAGGTTATTGGGTTATTAGGTTATTATTGTTAGATAAATTAGATTCGATTGTTAGATTTTTAGATTATTAGTGTTAGATTCTTATCAGTCAGTGTAAGAGCTTTGGTGTTGTTTGCTAAACTCCATCTTTTGTTCTCTTGTTTTCATTAAGACAATAGCTGTCTTTCTCATTAAAGCAAAGTTTTTTCCATTTTGTCTTTTTGTCTGTCTGAAATCACTCCAGCAATGTCTGTTCCATTTGTTTGGTGTTGCAAACACGCTATTGGCCCTGAGAAGGATCTGGGCACGTGCATCCTCCCACAGGCCCAGCCCCTTCCCCAGCTGGCAGGACTTCCAAAGGTGTGTCCCCATGGTGCCAGTGAAATCATGGTGGGCTTTCATCCTTGGATTCCTAAAAACCTCAGCTTGCAGTGAAAAGGGAGGCTTTGTTTAATTCAATGAATTGCATCTATGTGAGTGGGCTTGTCTCATTATACTTGGAGGGCTAAAAGCTGGGCGTTTGAGTACTTTTAGTCGCCAAGCAACACAGCTTTGTTCCATTTTGCTGGACAGATGGACTTGGCCACCTTCAAGGACTTTTCCAACCTCTGCCATTCTATAACATTAACATCCACGTGCATTAACAACCAAGAAAGCAGCAGCTCACTTTCAGTTTCTCTTTCAAAGACCAGCCTCCTGCTCTGGGCCTCCACCAACCTCCTTAGATCAAGCAAAGCGGGAGTGAACATTATCCTCTCACTTCTCACAGCTTTGGTATTTGCACCAAAGGAGCAGGAAACTCGCTCCTTTATCTAGCCCAGCAAATGGCATGGCCTGGCAAGGTCTTGGGAGCAGGGGCTGGGGAGAATGGAGAGGAGACGAGGGAGGGGGGAACTACCAGGCTGGTGCTGGGATGCTGACAGAAGCTTGCTCTTGTCTGACGGAGCCGCTGCAGGTGGGATTTGGAGCCTCCAAAGCATCTGCTTTGCACTGGGCCTTGTTACAG